TATGCATGCATGCATGCATGCATGTGTGTTGTATGTATGGTGTGTGTGTGTGTGTGTGTGTACACAAACATACACACAAACCAACCCACGGCAAGGCACCTCACAGGCCCGGGGCAGCCGTTTCCCAGGCGGCGGCGGTGTGAGGAAAGGCGTCTCCGCTTCAATGGATTCCGCCTCCCCAGGCAAACCCTCCGCGGGGCTCTCCACGTGGCCGTCCCGACGTGCAGCGCCGAGCACCGCCGGGGCCTCCGCCTTCCTCCCTCCCTCCCTCGCCCCCTTTCTTTGTCTCCTTCCCAGATGGCAGCCGAGGAAGAGCCCGCCACACGGAAATCCAGCCTGCCGAAGGCCGGCCTGGGGTTGTGGGGAGGGGACCGGGGGGGGGGGTGTTGAGTTGGCTCCGGAGAAGCGACCCCCGACCCAAAACGAAGGCGGGGAAGGGGAAAGGAGCTGCCCGGGCGCCGTTTAAACGCCCCACATGGCCGGAGGGCTCCGCCCTCGAGGCGGGGGAAGGGGAGAAGAGAGCCCCCCCCACAACTCAGGAGCCCCCCACTCAGCTCCGGGCCTTCGGGGCGCCCCCTCAGCGGCGCAGGGCGAGGAGCGACGCCCCCCCTTCCCGCCCTCTCTCGCGAGCGTTCCCGTCGGCTACGGTTAACGGCGGACGCCCCCGCCCGCCTCCCTCTCGCCCGGAAAACCCAGCCCGCAGCTCGGCCTTCTTACCGTCCCGAGGAAAAGCCGCTTCTCCCGGCTGGGAGGGGGCGCGAACCCGGGGCCACTGCCCCCTCCTTCGCTGAGCGCTCTGAGGGGAGAGGGGGGGGGGAGCGGGCCACCCCGGAAGCGCTTCCCGCGGACACGCCCTACGACGGCCGGCGCCCTATGGGAGAGACGCCAGCCGGCCCGAGGCGCGCGTCACAAAAGTGTTTCCGGGGCCCGGACGCCCTAGCAACCGCGTCCGGTTGCTAAGCGGGATAAGGCGGGGCTTCGGATGGCGGGGCCTGCGCAGGCGCAGAAAGGCGGGAGGGTTTCCTTCAGCCAGGAGAGATGATGGGGATGGGTGAGGGGGGGCGGGAGATAGTGACACGCGGGTTGTGGGGGTCACGTGTGAGTTGTTTATATGCTGGTCCTGGGAAGGGATCCCTGGCTTGAGCAGGGATGGAAGACCACTGGGTTGTTGTTGTTTCTTCTCCTCCTCTTCCCTTCTTCCTCCTCCTCCCCCCTTTCTTCATCTTCTTCACCTTCTCCTTCATCCCCTTCTCCTTCCTCCTATTTTTCTCCTCCATCATCTTCCTCCTCCCCTCCTCCCTTTCATTCCCTTCTTCCTCTCCTCCTTTTTCCTCTTCTTCCTTCCTCTCCTCCCCCATTCATCTTCTTCCTCCTCCTCCCTTCTTCCTCTGCTTTTTCCTCCTCCCCCTTCTCCTCCTCCCTTCTTCCTCCTCCTTATCCTACATTAAAAACTAAGAAACCTATAGCACCATACAAAGGAGCAGAAAAGATTTATTCTGACTTCAAACCCAATGTCCTTTAGATTAACAGTTGGAAGGGACCTTGTAGGACATCTAGTCCAACCCCACCAAGCAGGAGACCCTACACCATTTCTGACAGATGGCAGTCCAGTCTTTTCTTGAAAGCCTCCAGTGATGAAGCTTGCACAATATCCGTTCCATGGGTTGGTTGTTCTCACTGTCAGAAACTTTCTCCTTATTTCCAGGTGGAATCTTTCCTTGGTCATTTTCCATCCATTATTCCTTGTCTGGCCCTTCAGGTGCATTGGAAAATAGCTTGACCCCCTCCTCCTCTCTCTGGCAACCTCTCAAATATTGGAACACTGCTATCATCTCCCCTTGTCCTTCTCTTCACTAGACTAGCCGTGCCCTGCAACGAGTTCCTGCAACTGCTTTTCATGTTAGTCCCCTAATCATCTTGGTTACTCTTCTCTGCACTCTTTCTAGAGTCTCAACATCTTTTTTATAATGTGGTGACCTAATATAATGGGAATTCTGGAAACCCTAAACTCAAAGCAGTTGAATATTTAGCCGGAATATCCTGAAAGCGAACTTCCTTATCTTTCCCACTGCCACAAAGTTCGATACAAGAAAAGTATGAATACTCATAATCTTTAAAATCATTATTTAAGAACTAATCGCAGTCTGCACATAAACAAACTAGTTACCCAGATAAAAAAAACAAGAATAGCTGTGCCGAATTCTGTAAAACTGTTATATCTTTATTAGGCCGATTCCACAATTACAAATAATGTAGTAATTGGTTAATCAGAAAATTTTTTAACCCTACCCTCAATGCCATAAAACAAAGATGGAAGCAAATTAGAAAATCTTTAGAAGTGTTAATCTGTTATTTCTAATATCAGAAATTCTATGCTTCGGGTTGCCTTCGTACCCAAATTTGGCCTATTCAAGCTTTTACATAGAGCCATGTAGAAATTCTACCATTCTGCCACTCAATGAGGTACATTTCTTTGGCCTTATTTCTTTTAAATCCAAAATAATTATTCGTTCAGTATGNTGCATAGATATACTTTAAAGCAGTGTTTCTCAAATGTGATGATTTTCAGTCACCTGAACTTCAGCTAGGGGAATTTTGAGAAATATTGGTCTAAAGCAGAGATCGTCAAACTTGACCAGCTATGCTGGCTGAAGAATTCTGGAAGTTGAAGTCCACAAGTCTTAAAATTGCCAAACCTGAAGACCTCTGTTTTAAAGTATATCTATGCATGTATAGGTACTAGTGTGTGTGTTTGGGTGTATAAAATCCTCTTTTTCCACCCTTATGGTGGTCAATGCCTTCCTCAATCACAGGTCCTCTATCATGGGCTTTCAACACAAGATTGGAAAGATGCAATAACTATTTTTGGGTGTCTGAAGGTGTTCTCAGATATCTGGAGAACTATCTTGTAGAAGATGAGGCAAAATGTTTAGAGTTATACCAAAAGACAGGATGGAAAGGAATAGATTCAAATTACCAGAAACAGAATTTAATGGACCAGGTAATCTTTCCTTATGGTAGGAACCATTCACGAATGGAAAAAAATTGTCTTGGTAGGTGGTGGTGGTGGTGATGGATATTTTGGTTTCATATAATGAAATGTTTCTCAAACTTGCCAATTTTCAAACAGGTAGACAACTCCAATAATTTTTGAGAAATACTGATAGAAGTTCCTCTATCAGAGGGCTTGAGGACAAGATGAGGGAGGTGGGATAACTGTTCTCAGATATCTGAAGAAGTGTCTTGTAGAAGATGAGGCAGAAATTTTAGAATGGTTCCAAAAGGCAGGATGAGAAATGATGGGTTTACATAGCCAGGAAATTGATATTTGGTGGACAGCAGGGAACCTTTTCTTATGGTAGAAACTGTTGTGGGAATAAAGTTAGCACCACCCTCCCTCCTAGAAGAGTAAAATATTTTGAGGAATATTTTAAAAAGGCAGAATATAATATTTCCCCTAAAAGAGAAATAAAAAAAATCTTAAGGGAGACAGAAAGTCAGAGCCCCCTTCAGGACTTAATTCGATTAAACCACTAAGACATAGCAATAGCAATAGCAATAGGAATAGCAGTTAGACTTATATACCGCTTCATAGGGCTTTCAGCCCTCTCTAAGCGGTTTACAGAGTCAGCGTATCGCCCCCACAATCTGGGTTCTCATTTTACCCACCTCGGAAGGATGGAAGGCTGAGTCAACCCTGAGCCGGTGAGATTGAACCGATGAACTGCTGAACTAGCAGTCAGCTGAAGTGGCCTGCAGTACTGCACTCTACCCACTGCGCCACCACGGCTCTACATTGCACAATCTCGTAAGGATATTGCATCACCCACAGAAACTTCAACCAAACTTCCCAGACAGCCTACAGAGCCAGCTATGACTCCTACATGGCCCCATGGGAGTCTGACAACAGCCAATAGAATACATGTTCTTGCACAGGAACAGGAATCTCAAGTTCAAAGCCCAAGAGAAGGTATAAAAACCCTCACTCTCAACTCCATGTGGTCAGCTGCCCAGAAGGCAGAATGGCTGGTGGTTCTGCTTCATCATTAAACCCTCTTTCCAAGCAGCCTCCAGGCTCCATTTTGTCTCCAGTGTTTTTCTCCCAGATTGGAACTGAACTGGGTGGATATTTGTTCCAACACTATTCAACAATGGCAAAAATTGTCATGATAG